TTAGTTGTTTAGTTGTTTAGTTGTTTAGTTGTTTAGTTGTTTAGTTGTTTAGTTGTTTAGTTGTTTAGTTGTTTAGTTGTTTAGTTGTTTAGTTGTTTAGTTGTTTAGTTGTTTAGTTGTTTAGTTGTTTAGTTGTTTAGTTGTTTAGTTGTTTAGTTGTTTAGTTGTTTAGTTGTTTAGTTGTTTAGTTGTTTAGTTGTTTAGTTGTTTAGTTGTTTAGTTGTTTAGTTGTTTATGTAAGGGTACCACTACTTATATGGGGATCCTCAATATGATGTAAGGTATATTCCTTAACTAAGGGGTGTCGGGCTCGGTGGGGAGAGCCGGCAAGCTTTTTGCCCGAGGGCTACGCAAGAAGCGCTGCTTGCACTCTATGCCTCGGTGGCTAATGGCGATGCAGGTTGCTTGCGCACTGTTTGAGGGTTTAGGGCTTGGGTTTAGGGTTTGGGGTTTGGGGTTGAGGTTTCTTCCTGAACCTCCTGAGTTGGCAACGAAGAACACACTACCTCCGGGATCCTGAATATGACTTAAGGTATACTTCTTTATTTGGGCTCTCTAGGTATGGGACTCTCACCCTAAACCCTATTTAAACCCTGAACCCTAAACCCTAAACCCTAAAATTCTAAACCCTAAAAGCCGCGATGGGCCCGGCACCGGAGTACGTTCTTGTCAGTTTCAGTCTGACGCCTGACCCTGGGTGGGAACCCCCTAGAACCCCCCTACAACCCCCCCCCCCCCCCCCCCCCCCCCCCCCCCCCCCCCCTCCCCCCCCTTCCAAAACTTTGCCTGGGACCCCCGAAACCCTAACCCCCTCGAAACCCTGACGCGAGAACTCCTGGAACCGAAGCACTTCTTGGAAGTGGGCTGTTGACTTGAGTTCAGGCCGAAACCCGAAAAGCAACAGGTTTGCGTTGTTTTGCCGCCTGAGACGGCGTGGGGTGGGATAAAGATGTTGGATGGTCCTCCACTACCGGCCCACGGCTGCTCTTCGCATTTCACGGAAGCTGTCGAATCCAGTCTGCATCCCAGCCTTCACAGCTTCTGCGCCCTTTCACAGCTAACCCTAAACCCTAAACTCTAACCCTAAACCCTAGACCCTAAACTTTTTCCCTAAACCCTAAACCCGAAACCCGAAACCCTAAATCCGAAACCCTAAACCCGAAACCCTTTCAACCTTTGGCACCAGCTACACATGTGGCGCCTTGAAGAGCCGGAAGGCCGTGGGAACGGCAGCGTGCGCCTGAGAGCTTCGGGCTCTTGAGCCCGAAGAGAGACTCACAAGCGAAGCAGGAGGCAAGAGCTGAAGTTTAGGGTTTAGGCTTTAGATTTATATTTAGATTAAGGTTTAGGGTTTAGGGTTTAGGGCTTAGGGTTTAGGGTTTGGGGTTGAGGGTTGAGGGTTTAGGGGTTTAGGGGTTTAGGGGTTTAGGGGTTTAGGGGTTTAGGGGTTTAGGGGTTTAGGGGTTTAGGGGTTTAGGGGTTTAGGGGTTTAGGTGTTTAGGGGTTTAGGGGTTTAGGGGTTTAGGGGTTTAGGGGTTTAGGGGTTTAGGGGTTTAGGGGTTTAGGGGTTTAGGGGTTTAGGGGTTTAGGGGTTTAGGGGTTTAGGGGTTTAGGGGTTTAGGGGTTTAGGGGTTTAGGAATTTAGGGGTTTAGGGTTTAGGGTTCAGGGTTTAGGGTTTAGGGTTTAGGGTTTAGGGTTTAGGGTTTAGGGTTTAGGGTTTAGGGTTTAGGGTACTGTTCCCGAACTTCCAGAAAAAGCAAGGGGAGGCAAGGTAGACTGCATAAGCACCTGCCGGGGGGAAGCACCAACATTCGGCAACACGTCACGCTGGAAGACCTTACCGAGCAATTAAGGGATTTAAGGAGGGACCCCTAGCAAGGACCCTTAATCTTCTTCCTTATATAATCCCCATATACCAAATTAGCCCCTACATGCTGTCACCTGTGAACGTGAAGCCCTGCGCCTGCGGTGAGCCTAAACCTCTAAATGCTTTGTGCGCCTAGTGATTGACTCTATGACTTAGTTGCTGAGTTCATAAGCCCCCCAAAAGTGTACACTTTCAGTTCTATAGGGGATCAGAGTATCCCAAAAAGTGTAAAGTGTACTACTCACTCAGCTACTAAGATGATCCAAGGCGACTGCTAGCAGAACCCTAAACCCTAAACCCTCAACCCTAAACCCTAAACCGACGTGCTGTTTATCACTCTCAGCTGCATGCGAGAGCGTTGTGAGGCCGCTGGATGAAATCAGCAGCATCTGCCTGCTGCTCCAGGAACTTCATAACTTTAGAAACTTTAGGACTGAGAGAAAGTACATGAACTCCAAATCCCAAAACCCTATACAAACCCCATAATATATATATATATATATATATATATATACATATACATATACATATACATATACATATGCATATACATATACATATACGTATACCTCATGTAGGCCCTATATACCCAAGTAGCCCCTACCTTATCCGTAAGGGCCTTAACGGTCCTCCTCATGTCGCGCCTAAGCAGGGTGACACCACTTACATGTTTGCTCCACTTACGAAGCTTGTGTAGCACATGGCCTGAAGGCTATCACTTGCCCTTGATGAAACTAGGGTTTAGCGTTTAGGGTTTAGGGTTTAAGGTCTAGGGTCTAGGGTCGAGGTCGAGGGTCGAGGGTCTAGGGCTCAGGGATCCGCGGTGTACCTTGCGATAAGAATGCAGCGACAAAACATTTCGAGGCATCGGGATGGTAGCTTGGCAACGCATTGTTTAAGGGAGCTCATGCAAAATTACCGCGATGCAGCGCAAGCAACAAGACCCGAGACACCTTAAACACCCCGAACCCCATGCCCCTAACCCGAAACCCCAAACCCCAAACCTTGAACCCGAAACCCGAAACCCGAAACCCGAAACCCCAAACCCCAAACCCCAAACCCTAAACCCTAAACCCTAAACCCCAAACCCATGTCCTGGAGCCCTGAATTGCCCTGATGGCCTGGAGGTGGTCAGTGAGACGCCGCATGGCAGCTCTCTTTCCATCCACGATCTTAAAAGCTCTTGATGGTGCTAAACCCTAAACCCTAAACCCTAAACCCTGAACCCTAAACCTTAAACCCTAAACCCTAAACCCTAAACCCTGAACCCTAAACCCTGAACCCAGAACCGGTAAGACAATGAGAAGAGCTGCGAGTTTGGAGTTGAGGCTCTGGGCTTCTGGGGTCCTCAAAGTCCTTTTTTCATGGATGTAAGTTAAGGAGTTTAGGGATAAGTTTAGGGTTTAGGAAGGGTGGGGTTTGTGTGTTTATTGAGTGGGTGTGCAAGGTTGTGAAGGTCTTTTGAACTGTAAAACAAGGTGCATAGTGGTGGCCGTGGGTTCTGGCAGACTTCTTCCCCAGCTTGAGCATCTTGAGTTGGGGGTGGCGAGGGGACATCTGAGGCCGAAGATAACTCCGAGCTCAAATGCGATCCTCTTGTCATGAGCTTCGAGCCAAGAGTATGGTCAAGACCACAGCTTGCTGGCGAAGGCGGTTGCTACGTCTCCTGATCAATGCGCCGAGCCGTTCACGACATCCATCTAAACCCCAAACCCAAACCCCAAACCCTAAACCAGGCCAGAGCGTCTCTGGGAGCCTTGCCTGGCATCTACTTTTCGAACGCTTCAGGCGCCCTTCTTCCATTGCTCGTTGGTGGCCGTCATATGAGCATGCAACCATCTTCCTGATTCCCAACCCCGCCAGCACAAAAAAGGAAAAAAAAAAAAAACACACACACACACATATAAAAGTAATGAAAACCAACGGCTACACCCTGAGCTTAACGCTTGACTTGGCCAATCCTACGTTTCAGGCCTTGAAGGGATTTTTCCTGCCCGAGGTGGCTGCGCCAGCTTTTTTTTTCGCACGGTCGTGCGCACCTCATCTCTTCATCGACCCTTCTTATCCTTGCAGGCGCACAGAGGCGCGTGGTGGCCGTATTTGTTGCGGTCACAGGACAGGGAGCTGGTGCCAGGAGAAACTGGCGTGCAGTCGTCATGCGTGCCCTTGGAGAAGGGGGTGCCAGCGTAGTTGCGAGGTGCATGGAAGCCTTAGTACATGACGAAGCAAACAGCTCTAGAAGGCAGCAACCGTGAACAAAGCACAGGCTGTCGCATATCTGAGAGTGGGGGCCATGCGTGCAGCTGTGCAACGTATTGAAGCCGAGTATGCATGTATGTATAACCAGATGTACATGCACATGGTCACCCCTTCCGCGGAAAATAAGTCCACTGCTTTTGGGGGGTTGATGCAGAATCCAAGTCTTGCTTGTCCGGCGGGTTGCACACGTGTCAAAATCGATTGCTCTCTCCAAGCTGAAGATACGAACTAACGCTATATCGACAAAACCAGTATGTACTGAGTATCTGATTTCTATGCAATGATAAATTGCAGTGGTGTGCTTAAAACATGCAATAGGTGTTTCATTCGTACGTAATTTGCCTGGAAAAGAACTATTTCTTTAGAAAAAGAACGAGCGCCTGAAAACCAAAAATCCAAAGTTCAATAAGATTCTCCCGAGGTGTGCGGATTCTTGAATTCCCGAGTACTATCAACTTCACGAAGCAAATAAGAAGTTTCCAGAAGAATTCTGTACTTTTGTGCTTGTCTAAGCGAAACGTCTGGTTTATACCTAACATATACTGTACAAGTGTTCTTTAACTAGTACGTCAGCAGTATTTCATAATTATGTAATAAAAACTGCTTGCATGAAAATCAAAACTCGGTGCACATCTTAGTTGTACTCCAGGCCTCTTTGTTTAAGAGCTCGACGCTTCCAGGCGAGCTATGCTTTCTAGCTGTCTGTGCGACTTGTATGCTTCAGACATCATATATGACATACAAGCCATACTCCCCTTAGAACCTAATAATTACAAACAATATTTTTATATCCTCTTGGGTTTTATATAAACAAAAATACAAATAATTCCCAAGGGGGATATAGCAAGTGGTGTTTGATTAGTACGTCAGCAGTATTTCAGTATTATGTAATGAAAATGCTTGTTTTACAAGCAAAAATTAGTGCACATGTTGGTCGTACTCAGGTTGTCTGTTTTAAGTAGTACTCCTGTCACTTCTACTAACCTGTAAGAAGTGTGTTCTGGTGACGAAAATCACACACAATAACAATGCATTTTGCAAGTTCACTAGCCTCTGTCGTATAGCATTGATTTAACATTTTGCCTAATACAGGCACTATAATTCTAGAAAAAACTATTTGCCTAGGCTTGGGACAAGCACTACTTCTCTAGAAAAAAACGGATTGTTTAGAAAAAAAAATGTTTATAACATTATTTGTTTAGATTGTCTAGTACAATTAATAGACAACAGCTAGGGTTATTCACTAGCCTCTTTCATATAGTATGGGCTGACTCAATATGTTGCCTAGTACAGGCGCTATGTATCTCAAAACGCACACCATTTGCCCAGGCTTGGGACAGGCACTAGTTTGCTATATAAAAACCCAGGCAGCCAAAAAAAATATACATACAACAAAAAACAGTATTCTGAGACTCTTGGAAAGGTGAAGCCAAAAAGAACGCCCAAACCAAAAAACAAACAATAACACCAACAAAAAAAAATCTGAGACTCTTGGAAAAAAGGGCCCTGTTTCCAAGAGTCTCAGAACATCGTTTCTTGGTTTTATAGGGCTTGTTGGGATGGGCAATTTTGGCTTCCTCTTTCCAAAAGTCTCACAATAATGTGTGTTTGGTTGCTTTTGGGTGTTTTAATGGTTTTGCTGACGTTGGTGTTTGTTGTACCCACATGCAACACAGGGCCATCAAGCAAAACATGAGCAGACATTGCCGCAACAAGCCTATCCCCTAAACCCTAAACCCTAAACCCTAAACCCCAGACCCCAAACCCAAAGCCCCATATCACTCTTCACCACACATCAAGTCCATGCAGCTGAGGAGTGAAAAGGGTGCAACTTGCTCGATTCTGCTTTCGGGCTCATAGGGCAGCCCTAAACCCGAAACCCCAAAACCCTACATGTCATTCCTAGTGGAGCCAGGTTTTTTTGGGGGTGCTTTTTTGTTTTTTTTTGGTATGTTTTTGGGTTTAGATAAAAAAAACAAAAAAAAAAACCAAAAAGAACCCCCACCCATTCCTAGTTGCCAAGAGACCCTTGCAAGTGTAGCCAACTTTCTTGAAGGCATCGCGCACCTTGTCGTTGCTCGTGAGCGCGAGCATCTTTTGTTGATCCTCAACTGCCAGGGAAGCGCTCAAATCGCTGCACGGAGGGCTAGCTCTAAGGAGGGCTTTAGGGTTTAGGGTGTAGGGTTGAGGGTTGAAGGTTGAGGGTTGAGGGTTTAGGGTTTAGGGGAGGTTATTGTAGTAAAACTACAAACGGACCATACGGGAATCCTATTAGTACTTATTCCGACCACTATATTACCTCTAAAGAGGGGCTTTAGGGTCTAGAGTTTAGGGCTCAAGGGCAGGTACTGGTTCATGTGGTCGCGCGGGCCGCCAACCCGCACCTCACGATTCGCACCGTCTCGTTCTCCAGGGTTTAGGGTTTAGGGCTTAAGGGCTGAGGGCGCAGGGTTTAGGGGTTACGGTTTAGGGTTTAGGGTTTACGGCCCCCCTAGACCTAAACCCGAAACCCAAAGCAGCAGGGGTATGCTGCCGTGTACTCATCACCCAGCCCAGGGGCGCAGCGCTCGAAGCCATTGGCTTGGCAAACCTGCGGGTTCAGGCTTTAGGGTTTAGGTTTCAGGGTTTAGGGTTTGGGGTGCAGGGTGCCAAAATGATCTGTCAAATCGGTCGGTGAGGGACAGCACGACAAGTGTGTGCATCCATTCCCATGTCATATCTGCGTACGTACAAATACATAAATAAATACACAAATATGTTTACATATGTTTACACACACCCTAAAGCCGAAACCCTAAACCCTAAACACTGCACGAATGAATGTAGACATAAATTTGTTGCCATGCCCGAACCTTTCTCAGGGCTTAGGGTTTTGGGTTTCGGGATTTTGGGGTTTCGGGTTTAGGGTTTAGGGGGCAGGGGGTTTAGGGTTTAGGGTTTAGGGATTAGGATTTAGGGTTTAGGGCTTAGGGCTTAGGGTTCAGGGTTTAGGGTTTTGGAGTTTTCGGGGCACTTGGGCAAATGGATGCACCCATTGCAATCAGCTGACTACGACTTCGCTGCAACACATGAAGTCGGGCTTATATATCTTGTACCCCCCAAAAGGACACCAAGTATATACCCTCACGAATATTTTTTTAAAGGAACCTTATACTCACCAATAACAGTAATATAAACCCCTGTTTCACTGCGTTTACAGGCCGGGTCACCTTGTTGCACGTCGCACCATTTGCACCCTTGAACCACACTTTTGCAGCGTCCTCGGCGGCTCAGTGAACTGGCAGATGGCAGGGTGGAACTTCCGAACCCGCACTCGAACCCTAAAACCTAAAGCCTAAAACTGTTCTTGTTCCTACAAGATAAGGAATGCACA